AGAAATAAATATAAAATAAAAGCAGAAATGGGAGCAAATGATGGCATTTAAGGCAAACCTGTCTCTACTGATAGCACTGCACAGAATGTTTGTAACAATTTCTCTGCTTTCAGTGGAATCGACGATATATTCGGTTAAGTCTAACGCTTTCTTCAAATTGATTGCATCCATCTCTGTATCGGTTTCACTCATATAGAGTTCAATCATTTCTCGTGGAGATAAGACTCGCATTGAATTAAAATCTAAATTAGATTTCGCCATAATTTCTGGGGAAAGGTTTTCCTGGTATAGGATAAGCTCCAGTTCCGAGTCTATGTCGGAAGGAGGGGGCAGTCCGGCGGCCAGCGCTGAGAGTTTACTCAAACTTAAAAGTGTTTTCTTACGACTCAAATAGTTTTGCTCGTGTTGTGCGAGTTCTCTGAGGGTATGGGAGGCCTCCGGGAACTGATCCAAATGGATCTGATGCAACCAATTCAACTGCTGGTGATTCTTGAGGAAGTTGGTGAGGGTGTGCAGACTGGCACTCATGGTCAACATCTTTCCCTGTTTGCCTTCTTTGAGATACCATTTGAATAGATATTCAGCGAATCCTTTGTTGGCGAAGTCAGCGATATATCTGCGAAGTCTTTCGCTGTCATTCAATTGCTCGCAGATCTCAATGAGAGCGTCGAAGTGGTCGTACTTTTCTGCGAGCGCTGCCGCCCTGTCGTACTGTTTGACTCTCATTAAGGGCTCAATGCATTTGGCGCGACACGACTCAAAGTTTCGCTCAACCGTCTGATATCTGTTTGTGTTGTCAATGGATTTCAACTGACAAACAAAGCCGTCGAGTATTATATCCGATAAGTCAACCATCTTCTGACAAATAGCGCCTTTCAATTGAATGTCGTCCTCAACGGCTGATGTATTTGTCGATTCGATGCCATAGTTCACCAAAAACTCAAACTGTTTCACAAGTGATGTTCGCATTCCGTTCACACCTACTGTAGACGTCCAGGGAATGTACTCACACTTTGAAAGGGCTGACCATTCATAAAGTGAGCCCTGGGTTTGACGGAAATGACAGACCTCTTGAAATAAAGTTATAAATATATTACTGACTGAAAGCAGACAATTGAGTAGATCTCTGGAAGAGCCGGCATTGCTGTCGATCTGTTGGCTCTCGTACTCAATGAGTGCAGTAATGAGTTCTTCGACTCGAGTGGTTTGCCTATAGAAGATATCTTGTGGTGTAAGTCGTGTCTGCAAAGTGTCATTCCTTTGTGATAATACTATTTTGATAGCCGTTTCCAATATGTTGTTGTATTCGTTATGAAGTCGTCTCAAAGTGAGACAAGCAATCAGTTTCTCGATGTGTTCGCTGAGCATAAGTTTTGTTTGAACTGTTGTCGAGCCCTTCACTGTCACAGAAGACAGTCGTTCCCAAAGATTACATGTTTTGAGGAATTCTATAAGAATTCGGTGACTCTTTAGCTTCTCGTCAATTTGATTGGCAATAATGACAGAAGCGGTTAGACTCTCAATGCTATACTGGTTTTGGGAGCCGGACTCAGCCCAACGAGGGTCTGAATGCGGTATTTGGTCGCATAGGTCAGCGCTGAGGGCGACTACAGAATCGTCGAGTCGATCGCTCTCTACAGCTGTGGTGATGGGAGGGAAGAGCTCTTTCACTAAGTACTGACTTCGCGCCTATAAATATCGTTTGAATTAATCGATTGCTTTAATCGCAATATTTCTGAGACAACGACTCACTCGATCTCCTTTAGAAAACAACACAAAAGCCTTTTTAAGTGCTTTTAGTTTATCGTCGGTTTGAAGGATATCCTCATCAATAGTCTGCACATCCATTATATCACTGAAAGGTATGGTTAGATCCGTATCATATAATATCATATCACATATCAACATAAGAAATACAATTCATTTCGTGTTATATAAAAATAGATAAGTGAAAGTCAATGAGCGAGTGCTGCGAACCATACCTTATATCTTGTTTGTGAGGAATAATCGATATGAGAGCGTCTTTATGTGTGAATAATAGGGGAAATCCATCACAAATTCCAGCGCCAAGTATACCATCGTCTCGAGAATTGAAATCAATTAAATCGATTTCATCGCTTCCGACTTCACCAACAATTTTTCATATATTATACAAATTATGAAATTGAGTCAATATTAATAGGTTATAGAAAAACAAGCAAATAGTAAATCATGGCTTATATGATGCAAACAAATGAGTTTAGTTTACATTTAAGGCATAAAACTTGTGATGTGCTGTATATGTAAACCATTTGGCTATTGATAGTTCCGGAGAGTAAGTGTAGGTTAAGAAGCTGTTCCTCTTCTTCCTCCACGTAACAGACGGTATGGTTTCGCAATACAGTGAATGAGTTGAACGATATGTTGGGCTCAGGCCTGGACTCGTTGTGACTGAATGTGAGGACAGCATAATAAAGTTGATTGGAGACATCAGCGTTAAGTCCGGCCACTAATAAAACCATTTCATTAGTCTTAGTGAAGCCAATGTCAATGAGCCATATCTTCAATTGGTTCGGATGAGTGGTCTCTCGGTTCTTATAAACAAATAATTACATGTAAACCAAAGCCAATAAAGCATTGACTGGCAGTCAAATTACCCAAACTTTGTCGAGAAAGGCGTCTTTCACAGGTCTTTCCAAATCCATGTCTTCAATTAGCTTTGAATAAATCAAACACTCATTCATTAGTGATTTGCGGCTCAAGCGGCGCATACAATACTTTACTCGTTCAGAGTGTTCATCAATTATTAGCCACTTTTGAGCGGAAACACTCGAGAGAACCCATATATAGAGCTCATCCGAGAGGTTTGATGAATGGCTGCGAACCACTTTAAACAGCTGTTTCGATTCAGACGACTGGGTGGCAGGCATTGAGCCGAACAACAGGGATGTGACTCTACGGCCAAAGCCAGCCAACACTCCTTGCGGTGCTTTCAGTGTTCGGCAAATGATTGTGTTTTGGCCCTCAATGTTATTCACTGTTATGTGAACTAAAGAGCTCGTAGTCGTGCCTAATATGCAGCCATAGGGCTGGATATCTGTAAGCGATGCACATTCCTGGCCCTGAAGATCGCTAGCTATGGACTCAATTGAGTGGCCTTCGTATGCAATGTTTGGCCAAAACCTAACAATTCCTTCGGGAGTGACAGCTATGGTAGAGGGAACTGATTGCGAGTTTTGACTGTTGTCTAAAACACAAACGAGATCTGCTTTATGTGCCAAATCACTCGGTGGTAATTGGAGTTCATAACAGCAACAACTTCTTCTCATGTCGTTTTGTTTATATTTCCAAACAAACAGTCGGCGCCCGCATACAAGCCATGCCCAGCCCTCCGGAGACATCTTAACGCTGAGGGATCCCAACGAAAAGACTGACAAATCAAACAAATCCTATTAAAGAATACCCTTTTTGTGCGAAAATGCTAAGAATTCGTGAGATATTATATATAATACACTTTATTTAGTCTGTTTTAAATAAATATATAATTTTTGGAAACATATTCATCAGAGAAATCACATTATAATTGAATATTCATATCAATTGTTTCTTAAGATGTTGGCATTAGTGGTTAACCATTCAAGTTCTTTGACATTTACTAAAAATATTCAAAATTCTGTATTTTTCATAAATTCGCTTATTTTTTTAACACAATAACATATTTTTAGAAATTAAGTAAAGAATATCAAAATCAATAGAAATTCTTTATTTCTCAACATTAAAGACTGAAATAAATATTTAGATAAGAAATGTGTAAAAATAAATGTCTCATACGAGCTGTTAGTATAAGGAATGAAATGAATATTCTTTTAACGTTGGACTCAATGAGTGTTTGTATGGATAGAAAGTATTCG